ATGGGCCCTGGGGAGCAGGGAATAGCCCCAGCGCAGGGCACCCCGGCCACGCCCCCAATCTGCCCCCTCCCTCAGGGCTGGGAGTAGAGCCTTTTCCAGCCCCACACTGACAGGGAGCCCCCTGAATGGGAGGGTGTTTCCCACGGGGGCCATTATGTCCCCTTAAGCAGCCAGGGCGGCCTGACCAGAGAAGGGGCCGGGGCGTTCCAGGCCCTTGTTTGCAACGTTCAGCCGGTAGTTAGAGCATGTATCAAGTCCTAGCCGGCCGTTCCCATGGAAACCGCCCTTTACACCCCCGTTTTGGGGGCGCAGAGCACCGGGCCCGTCGAACTGGGAGAACTCAGGAGCCCATTGGTTCAAACGCTTCCCCTGGCAGAGACCTCGCCCATAGCTACCCACTATAAACACCCCAATGGAGCCAGGACGGGATGGATAAGGACGCTGGAAGCTCCGTTCTCATCCCGCATGGACTCTTGGAAGCCTTCGGGGGCGGAACCCGATTGTACATCGTTTCCGGAATAAAGCAGGTTCTGGAAACGCGGAGCCGCCTTGGTGCTGTCAGGAGAACCCGCGAGTGTCGCAGGGTCGAGGGGCAGAGGAGGCAGCACTTGGCAGGATGCAGCCGGTCGGTTCTTACAGGGTCAGTCTGCCCCGGGAGCAGCTCAGCCTCTGAAGAGGCAAAACGGTGGCCTCGGCCGGGCTGAGACACAAGTAACGCTGGCACTTGCACAGTGCAGATGGGATCAGAGCTGGGGCCCATCTAGCCTGGTATCCCGGCTCCAACGTGCCAGAGCCAGATGCTGCAGAGGACGGTGGAAGAGCCCTGCAGTGGCAGCTGGGGGATAATCTGCCCTCACTTCCTGGTCTCTAATACTCAGCTGGGCTGAAGCCCCACAGCAGGAGGTTTTCTCTCTTCCCAAATGTTTGTGCCCTTTAACTATGATCACTCTGGCTGTTCTCATCATCCGTATGAATGTCCAGTCGCTCCTTGAATCTTGCTAAATTCTTGACCTCAGTGACTCCTGTGC